TCCTCCTCCTCCTCATCCGCCTCCTCCTCCTCCTCCGCTTCCTCCTCCTCCTCGTCCTTCTCCTCCTCCTCCTGATACTCCTTTTCATCATCCCCCGATTCCTGGCAATGGGTCGCTGGAGCATTCCAAGGCGCCACCCTGATCAAACGTGGGGTCTCGGGGATGGATAAAAGGGGGTAAGGAGAATGAGGACTGGATGCTTAGGCGCTGTGGATGGGGTGCGTTATGCTGCACCCGGACGCGGCTGCAATTGCAGGTGGCAGATCTGGTACCCCCCAACGGCGGACAAGAGCTCCCCGATATCAGAATGAGCTGCTGCCCTGATGGTTCTGGCAGTTACCGAAGACAACGTGTTCATGTTCAGTGGTTATCTGCCTGTTGCGCGAAATTTCAGGAAAAGCCGGAAGCAGATGCGGATGAGTAAAAATGCGATACTGGACATACGGAAGCCAAGTGGGGATTAGCTGCAGACCCGTATTGGCCAGGTGGAAATCCGATGGACGAAATATCACCCGACCTAGGCCTAGATGCCTTCTGTGCAGTAGTCGACCGTCGAACTCCTTTTGAATCGGGATGCGGACAGGTGCGCGAATCGAGGTGCGAACCGCGGCCAGGTCTCCTCGGAGGCAGCTGACACTGTCACCCCGGCAGGTTCCGTCACGTTTGCCCGATATCGACATGGAAACCTGCCGTGACCTGCGAACGGATACTCCAGATTTCGTAATAAAGGGAGGGGGGTCTCATTTCGGGGGGGTCTCTTCCAGGCTATCTTGGAGGGCCTGGGGGGGTCTGGGGACGACGTTTTGGAGGGTTCTCCCACGAGGGGGGGTCTGAAATTGCTTGTCTTGGAGGGTCCAGACCCCCTCCCTTTTATTACGAAATCTGGGGTACTGAGCACGCGTGAGGGGCTCACCCGGGCGCGGAGGCTCTGGGGGGTCGCCTCCAGACAGGCTCGCTGGACGCGGCCACACGCCGCAGAGCACGATGCTCTGAAGAGGAGCACCCTCTTTTGAAGCGCAGGGGGGGGGCCACCAGCCCGTTCACAAGGAGAGGCCCCTGAGTGGCTCCTGGCCCCCCGCGTGCGTCCTTTTTTGTGAGCTCTCTCTCTCTCTCTCTCTCTCTCTCTCTCTCTCTCTCTCTCTTTATATATATATATATAGAATATATATATGTGTGTGTGGATGTCTCCCTTTCTCTCTCTCTCTCTCTCTCTCTCTATAGATATATATATATATGTATATATATATATATGTATGTAAATAGATTGTGATGTCTCTCTCTCTCTCGTCCTCTCTCTCTCTCTCTCTCTCTCTCTCTCCCTCTCCCTCCCCCTTGTTTCTCTCTATCTATCTCTCTTGTGTCTCTCTATCTCTCTATCTCTCTCTCTCTCTCTCTCTCTCTCTCTCTCTCTATATATATATATATATATATATTTATAGAGAGAGAGATCTGTTTGTCCCTCAATGCTTCACAACGACCCCTTCGCCAGAGTCGCGCCGCGCCCGCCGAGCGCCCACGCGGGGGCGAGCCCCCGGCAAACCTCGGACACCGCCGAGGGGTGCACAGTTCCCGCGCTTCGGAGAGGAGGGGGGAGGGGAGGGGCCCCGTGGGGAAGAGGGGGACTCGCCATCGCTCGGAAGTCCATTCCCCGTGCATTGTTCGGTTTCGTGCGTTCTTTTTTCGCCAGATGATCCAGGATGCTACTCGATGGTCCCCGCCGAGAAAACATGCACACGTCCCAGCGACGCCAAGGGGAGGGAGGGGGGCCCCGTCCAGCCAGTGCCACAATCCTAAGGCCCAATCGTTTGTCCCGAGCATCCTGTGGTGTTGGGCCCTCGCTTTGGCAGAGGCAGCGCCCCGCGTTCCTTCCGTCCTCCTCCTCCTCCTCCTCCTCCCCCTCCTCCTCCTCCGCCTCCTCCTCCTCCCTCCTCCTCCTCCTCCTCCTCCTCCTCCTCCTCCCCCTCCTCCTCCTCCTCCTCCTCCTCCTCCCCCTCCTCCTCCCTCCTCCTCCTCCTCCTCCTCCTCCTCCTCCCCTCCTCCTCCCTCCTCCTCCTCCTCCTCCTCCTCCTCCTCCTCCTCCTCCTCCTCCTCCTCCTCCTCCTCCTCCCGTCCCCCCTCTCGCTTCGGTACACCCCTCACACGCTTCGTGACCTTGCAGGGAGCTCCACCGAGGGCCCCAGTGGCGGTGCCCACATGCGCCCCCGCCACCCCTTTCGGCACACCCCTCACACGTTTCGTGGCCCCAATGGGAGCCCCACCTAAAGCCAAAGTGGCGCAGTCCACGTGCAGCCCCGCCACCGATTTCGGCACACCCCTTCCATGTTTCGTGGCCCCATAGGGAGCTCTACCGAAGGCCCCTGTGGCGGTGCCCACACGCGCTCCCGCCACTTGTTTCGGCACACCTCTCACACGCTTCGTGGCCCCATGGGGAGCTCCGCCGAAGACGATACTCACAGCTGCGTTACTGACAACTGCACATGGTTGGGTCCTTCGCCAGGCTCATGCATGACTTGGTTATGGCAAATTCGTGTCGTGACGACTTGCGCGCTGGTTTCTGACACCGCCTGGCTCGTGTCACCTTCAGCGATCGCGGCTTCCCGCTAGCGCCAGTCGTTCGAAATCGGCAGATTCTGGGCTAATGGCGGAGTTCCACCTTGAACGTCCGCGCTGGGGTCGCCAAGGCCATGAACCTACTGTGTCCCGCCTTCCCCGCGAAAGCGGCTTCCCCCACTTGGCGCCTCGGCTGAACTTCCGGCGCTGGCGCGCCCGGAACAGCTCCATAAGCTCCTTGGCGGGTCGACTCTCGCCTGCACTCGAGATAAGTCACAGCATGGGGAGGAGGAGGAAAAGCAGCAAACGAAGCAGTAAGCATGACCCTAGGTCACCTGATTTCGCACATCGCGGCCTGCGATGCGCGACGCCCGGTCGACTTCGAGCCCTCGCACCACCCCTCCAGAAGGCCAGCTCGGTGGCCTCGGCCGCGACGCGCAAAGAGCGGTTATCTTCGCGGCCCTGAGGTTGGCCTGCATGCACGTTTGGAGGCTGGGGGATGTGACCGCGGTAAAGCCCAGGCCCCTGACGCCATGCTTTCGTCGCGACGTGGACCCCCGAAGGTCTGGACCACTTCCCGAGGGCTGGCTCTTTCTCCCGAGCTGCTTTCGACGCCCTCGGAGCCCAGCGAGGGCCCCCCAGAGGCCGCGAGGGGGTCCGGGAGCAGACTGCCCCTCGCTGGGACATGGGCCTCGGCTTCGAGCTGCGGCGTGCCAGGGGGTGCCGGGCGAGGGGAGGCTGCGCGAGCGGGCGCGAAAAAGGGACCACGGGCCGGCCCAGGGCCCGGGCTGGGCAGATGCGGGCGGGCGCCCGTCTCGCGGCGATCCGCGGGCGGTCCCGTGCGGCAGGCCCGTGCGGCAGGCCCGTGCGGCAGTCCCGTGCCTGTTCCCATGGTTCTCCCGTGGTTGTCCGGTGCAGTTGGCCCAGACTGTCCTCCGCGCGGCCGTCGGCAGAGAGGACGCAGGACGCACGTGGCTGGTGAGGTATATACTGTGATAGCGCTCGGCACTCAGCAATGTGCTTGACGAACTTACGTAGCGTTTGCCAGCGAGGGCCCCTAACAGTGAGCTTGGGCACCGTGGATGTGCAAGCTGTGTGGTGCAACAGATGCGGTGCAGGCCATGCGATAGAAGCCGTGTGGTGCAGTCTCTGTGTGGTGCAAGCCGTGTGCTGCAGGCTGTGTGCTGCAGGCTGCCTGGAGCAGGCTCTGTGGTGACACATGTGGGCTGCATGCTGCGCGATGCAAAAGCAAAGCGGTGCTGCGCATGCGGTGCAAAAGCTGTGCAGTGCAAGCGGTGTGGTGCACGCTGCGTGGTGCAGCCAGCGAGCAGGGCGCCCACGGGGCAGCTGCCGGGCGAGCACCTGGACGCCGACGCCACGGGCGGCCACCGGGCGAAGGCATGGAAGCGCATGCCAGAAGTCTATAGGAGTCAAATCAAAAAGAAATCCCGGCAAAGCAACCTAACAGCGATGTGTAGAAGCATATCTGGAAGCATTGCCCTTGAGATTCATGTAGGAGTCCTGGTGTATAATTCTGGTGTCCTCGCAGTCGCTCGTCCTCCTGCTCGTCCTCGCATGTAGGAGTCCTCGTCCTCCTCCTTCTCCTCCTCCTCCTCCTGCTCGTCCTCCTTCTCCTGCTCCTCCTCCTCCTCCTCGTGCTCGTCCTCGTCCTCCTCGTCTTGCTTGTCCTCGTCCTCCTCGTGCTCTTGCCCCTGCTCCTCCTACAGTTGGCTCCGGGCATTGAAAATGCGGCCCGGGAATGGAGTTCTGGGAACTCGAAGAACACGAAGTGGCCTACAGTTGGCTCCGGGCATTCGAAATGTGGCCCGGGAATGAAGTTCTGGGAACTCGAAGAGCACGAAGTGGCCTACAGTTGGCTCCGGGCATTCGAAATGTGGCCCGGGAATGAAGTTCTGGGAACTCGAAGAGCACGAAGTGGCCTACAGTTGGCTCCGGGCATTCGAAATGTGGCCCGGGAATGGAGTTCTGGGACCTCGAAGAGCACGAAGTGGCCTACAGTTGGCTCCGGGCATTCAGAATGTGGCCCGGGAATGGAGTTCTGGGACCTCGAAGACCCCGAAGTGTGTAACTGTTGGCTAAAAAGAATCCCCCGGCATCCTCCCCCGGATCGCGCCCAGACCCCCCTGGGGCGTCATGATGCTTTCTTTTGACCCTACTAGAAGAAACCTATCAGTCTTCGCTGTTAGGCAAAAACAACCTTAGTGCAAGCACTGCTTGGGAAATGGAGCGCTAGGTAGACAGTATGTAGTATGTGTAAGTCTACATCTATACAAATACAACCAGATACAGTATGAACAGAGATACATATACAAGTATATAAGCAATTGCATGTAAAGATATAACGAGAGAGAGAGAGAGTTGCTGTCGTTGCTAGAACACATGACTGGGAAACTCGTAGGCGTCGCTTGGAAATTGGGGGGCGCCCTGATCGCGACTATAGATTCAGTGCAGGTGCTGAATGTGATGGTGATCCCAGATGCGGTACCATGGTCTCCGTGACTGGCGGAGCGACAATGCCCGGCGACGAGGATGACTGTGTTCTGAACGCCGAGCTGTCCCACTTGTGTAGAGAACCTGACTGCACACAAGCACTGCACGTTGTTCACATTGTGAGACGTGGGAAACAGTGCATCCCCATGCATCTGGACGGGAGGCTCACGAAGCCCTGCACATCCGCCGCGACGATGCCGGCTGCAACTCACCAACCGCAGGGCCACCTCAACCGGGGACACTGATAAACCAGTACATTGTCGCGCCCGAGAGAACTGCAGCCGTGGATCCAGACGTTCCCCCCGGAATTCGTTGTCTCCATGCGGAATGTTCAAAGTCCTGGTTGGCAATGTCCCGGTTGGGGGGGGCCCTGACGACCCGTCTGACCAGCGGTGCCCGACCCGTCTGACCAGCGACCGCTCAGCGGCCACAGTGGACCAGAAAACGAACGGCACACCCCGCCTACGTACGGCCGTACGGAGCTTGGCGCATACCAGGAGAAATCTGGCGCGGGCTTCTGCGTGGCAGGCGCTACGGCCCCCGAGGAGCCGTGGCGCAACGTGGAGGGCCGCAGGTGGGGTGAATGTCGCTCGCTTTCTGGTCGGCACGGCCCTCCTGAGCTGCCCGTGCCGCAGGCGAGGGGAGGGGAGCGCGGCGAAGCGTGCGCCCTCCGCAGGAGGGCTGCTCACGCGGCCGCGCTGGCGCAGGTGCCGTCGCTGTCGCTGCCCGAGGCCTCGGTGGAGGCCGCGTCTATACAGGCGGCGCGGCCCTTGACGCCGTTGGCCCTGCCGAGCGCGGACTCCTCAGCCTGCTCGAGCAGCCCCGCGCCAGGCGTAGGCCCCTTCGCCGAGCTTTCCCTCGAGAGCTGCTGCTGGAGCTCGGCCTTGAACCTCGAGTAGTGCACCGCGATCCGGGCGCGCGGCTGGAAGCTCACCCCGGTGCCGTACACGCTGCTCCAGCTGCTGGACTTGGGGTGCTCCTCGGCAACGACGAAGGCGTCCGGGTGCTCGGCAACGTAGAACTCGAAGCCGCGAGCGCTCATCTCGTACAAATGGGAGATCTTGTTGAGCCCGTAGCCACGGAAGCGCTCGTCGTAAGCAGGGACCAGCCTGGCGAGAGAAGAACCGGCCAGAGCACGAACTCTCGGAGCTCCGCGCGGAGTCCTGGGATCGGCGCTGCTCCCCCCCCTCTCCGGACGCGCGGAACACGCCAGGGGCGGCGCCGCAGGCGCCACCAGGGGGGTCCGCGCGGAGCTCTGCAAAAATGTGTGGTCGTGCCGTTTCTTCTCCTTCGACGGCCGGCGCGCGGCCACGACGTACGGCTCGAAGTACTCCTCGTAGGCCGCCCGGTAGCCGTCCACGCCGTGGCTGCGGGAGGACAGGCGGCCCGCGGGCCCGCAGACATCGGCGCCCAGGGCGGGCCCCCGCAGCCAGCGCTCGAAGTCCGTGGCGGAGTGACCCCTCGCACGCACTCTTCCGTACCAACGACTCCCTACCAAAGACCTCCTCCTCCTCCTCCTCCTCCTCCTCCTCCTCCTCCTCCTCCTCTCCCTCCTCCTCCTCCCCCTCCCCCTCCTCCTCCTCCTCCTCCTCCTCCCCTCCTCCTCCTCCTCCTCCTCCTCCTCCTCCTCCTCCTCCTCCTCCTCCTCCTCCTCCTCCCCTCCTCCTCTCCTCCTCCTCCTCCCTCCTCCTCCTCCTCCTCCTCCTCTCCTCCTCCTCCTCCTCCTCCTCCTCCTCCTCCTCCTCCTCCTCCTCCTCCCCTCCTCCTCCTCCTCCTCCTCCTCCTCCTCCTCCTCCTCCCTCCTCCTCCTCCTCCTCTCCTCCTCCTCCTCCCCCCTCCTCCCCCTCCCCTCCCCCTACTCCTGCGAAGGGCCATGCAGGCCCAGCTTGCTCCGTCCTTCTCCCCCCGCCCCACCGTGATTGTCTTCTCATTCCCTGTGATGGGGGAGGGGAGGAACGAGGCGGATCTGTGTATGAGGGCAAGAAAACCGACCCCGCCCCCCACATGGTGTACATTAGATTGATCTCCCGCTTCAAGCGGCGCCCAATCTAACGCCGAAGAACCTCTTCGCTCGGACGGGAACGAGATCGCTTGGTAGTGCGCGCTCTTCGCGTTGTCGTGTTCATGCGCGCGGTGAGTATCGAATCGGGGGATACCTCGGGCAACGAGGCAGGTCTGCATACCCAGACCAATCGGTGATGCAAGCTTGTTCACGCGCCGCCCCAAGGAGGTCCCAACCCTTCCGCGGAACCACGCTCTCGCCCTGGGCCCGTTCTCGGTGGCCCCGGGGCCGGACGACGAACCCCCAGAGGCAGAAACCAAGGAACACTGCTGGGAACGTATCCTCGGAGATAGCTGGCGGGCTCCAAAACTCCTGAATAACGACACAATGGTATCTCCACGAAGGGCAGATGTTTACCTTCGACGGTCTCCGCTGGCCGTCTGCCAGGTTCCGCGGCGGAGCCGCCCTCATTTTTGCCTCCACCGCCTTCCGCTGGCCTGCCGCCGCCTCTCGCCGCGGAAGCGACGCCAACTCCTCCGACCCCCGAAGGCGAGGAGACCCCCAACGCCATGGCTGTGCTCACGACATGCCCCCCCCCCCCGAGAGGCCTGGACCCATTCCCGGGGACCAGTTTGTCATCCTGCGTCGTGTTGGCAGTCCCCAAGGCCTTCGCCAGAGCTGCTGTGTCCCCCCCATCTTCCTCTTGCCCCAAGCCCGTGTCACTATCCGAACCCTGTGGCTCGTGCTGGTAATCCGCCACCGCACCTTCAGCACGTAGTGAAGTGCCCCAAGGCTCCTGCAGCTCTAAAAGCTCGACGAAGGCTTTGAGAGGCTCTCGAGGGCCCCCCAGGGCCGAACAAAACGGCACGAAGACCGCCCGCCGTGCTCTTCTGCCCACGACCCCAGGGGCCCCGGCCCGCGGGCCGCCTCCGCCCTGCGGCTTCATTTTCCCCCGCCCTCGGCCTCGGGAAATGCGAGACGTGGAACCCCTCGGCCTCGCCCGCGCGACACGCGGCCCGCACGGCGTCGCCGCTCCTCGCGAGCGCGCGCGCGCGCCCGCGGCCGCCGTGCACCTCGAAGGCGGGCACGACCAGCGCGCGCGCCGGCCCCCGCAGCGGGCCACTGCCGCCCCCGAGCGCCTCGTCGGCTGCGGCCGACGACGCCGACGCCGACGACAAAGCGCCGACGACGACGACGACGACGACGACGACGACGACGACGACGACGACGAAGCGCCGAGGATGACGCCGCCGCCGCCGCCGCCGCCGCCGACGACGACGACGACGACGACGACGACGACGAAGCGCCGAGGACGACGACGACGACGACGACGACGACGACGACGACGACGACGACGACGACGACGACAAGGCGCCGAGGAAGCGTCGACGACGACGACGCCGCTGCCGACAAGACAAGAAAGATCCCATGGAGTGCTCTCAGGTCGGCACTACTGTGGAACCAGAACTCTGGGTAGGCGGGTAGGCTACTACGCAGCCAACTGCTTAGCATCATTCACAGACGCGGTCACGCTCAAGCACCATAGTCTCGACTCCGTCCTCCTCCTCCTCCTCCTCCTCCTCCTCCTTCCTCCTCCTCCTCCTCCTCCTCCTCCCTCCTCCCTCCTCCTCCTCCTCCTCCTCCTCCTCCGCCTCCTCCTCTTCCTCCTCCTCCTCCTCCTCCTCCCTCTCCTCCTCCTTCTCCTCCTCCTCCTCCTCCTCCTCCTCCTCCTCCTCCTCCTCATCATCATCATCATCATCATCATCATCATCATCATCAACACTGGGGGGCACTGGTTCGTTGGGCTTTCCTTTCCCCTCTTGCCTTCTCCCTGCCTCTTTCCTACCACGCGGGGCCGCCACCCTTGGGTTGAGTAGTGTTTGCACATTCAAGCTAGACCTCGCGTCTTTTTGGGGGGGGCTGCCACCTGCGCAACTGTCTCCCCTCTGGTGGGCACCTGGGAAGTCCAGCAGAGTAGTGCCCTACGCGCATCCAGACTGGACATTGCGGCTCCCTGGGGGGGGGCTGACACCTCCGCAACAATTGCTTTTTTCGTGGGCACATTTCAGGTCCAGCGGAGTGGTGTCTGACGCACTTCCAGACTAGACCTCGCGTCTCCTTAGAGGGGTGCCACCTCCTTCTCCCTTTCAGCACTTGCGCGCGGAATATGAACATCAAGTTACACCGGCGTTGGCCCATCGGCCCGCGGAAGGCACTATGACTTGCAGAAGCTTCCCCCCTTCGAGGCCACGCGCGCGCAGAATCCAGACACGCATCTGCACCAACGGTGGTACGTCGGAAATCAATTGCGGTTGTTTTGTTTTCTTTAATGCTGGACACCCGAAGTCGGACGTTGATTTGTCGTCCCCGTCTCTTCTGTGCTCTGAGTTGCGAAGGTAAGCGCGGGCGGAAGTGTTCCAGAGTGCTGCACATCTCTCAACATGTTCCTTTGTATGAGGCGCTCCTACCAGCAGTCGCCTCGCATGGAGCCAGGGTCGGGTAAATCTCTCTGGGCGTTTTTCCTTGATTTGGGCCTCCGGGGTCCGTTGTTGGGTCCCAGGGCCACCCAAACGGGTACAGGGTGAAAAACTGGCCCTGTGGAAAGGGTCGGGACTTCTCGGGCCACGCATTGCACAATCAGATTGTCGGATGTCGGTGTACGGTTCCCGTCGGTTCTCGAACGGTCTCGCCTGGTGCGGGCCAACCGGGCGTTTCCGGCGCGTTCCACTGGCTGCGCCTCGCAGAGAGCGCCCCTGGCCTTTCGCGGGGCGATTCGGGCCTCTGGCGGAAATTCGCGAGACGGTGCGGGTACCCGCTGAACGCTCTTAGCGAGGCTCAGCTGCTTGAGCGCACCTGGAGGCCAGAAACCGCCGAGCACTGGCGAGAACGTCCGAGAACCGGCGAGGAAGGCCCGAAATCCGCACGAAGGCCTGCAGACCTCCGACGACATGCTTTTGCAACCCGCGGCCCCAGATGGGTCCCGAACCCTGCCCCAGGGCCAGACTTTCACCCCGCGTGAGGAGCGTGTCGACATGGGCGGGGCGGCCGCATGCGAACGTGGTCACTGGGGCCTGCGGCGGAACTCCCTATACCAGGGCCACGGAACGCGCGAGGGCTGTGCCGAAATCCGCCTGAGGCCCGACCACGCGCCCCGGAGGGCCGAGATCGAGGCAAAGCGCCTGGGCTGAAAAAAACACATCGTCGGGGATGCGGGTATCCCACATCCCCGAGGGAGGCCCGAGAGCTTTGTGGGGCCCGGAAGCGGCAGAGCCGTTTGTTCACCGCTTCCAGGAAAATGTCCCCTGAAAATGGAAACGGCAAAAAAACGGCGACCGGAAACGGCCAAAAAAACGGCCCCAGGATTGGAACCGGAGCCGGCACCGGTCAAAAAACGGCGACGGAACCGGTAAAAAAACGGCGTCGGAACCGGCAAGAAAATGGCAAAACGGAACCGGTAAAAAAACGGCCCTGCCGTTTCCAGGGCCCACTAAGCCCGAGAGTCGCGGTGTGGGTTCACCCATACCGTGACTCCTGGGCCTCTCTCGGGGTGCGCCCGGCCCAGAAGCTCATTCGAGGCGAATCCACAGCCTTGGCGAAGAGGACCTCCCAGGAGGCCCGAAAAGGGCTGTACCAGCACCCTCTCCACACCTGAGGGACGATCACAAGCCGGGCTTACGCAAGATGGCAAAGCGACCTTGCGCCGCAGCTTACGCGGGCCGCCAGTGCGGCACGCTGGGCTGGAGACGAATGCGCTCACGCGCGACACTACGCGGGCAGCTTACGCGCGCATGTCGGCGCAAACGACTCCGTCTCTTTGCGTCGCTCACCTGAGTTTGCGTGCAAGCCGAGCCTCGCGGAGGAGGCCAGGGCTCCCGGCGAGCGCTGGGTACAGGCCAGCACTGGGCACGAAGTCCACGTCCAGCAGCAGCACCAGCTCGGCGCGCGCGGCGGCGAGCGCGGCGTTGCGCAGCGCGTTCACGGGGTAGAGCCTGTCGTACTCGGGGCAGCGGACCTCGCTGCTGGGCAGGGGTTCTTCCTACCCAGATCTCCGACGATATGATTTTGTTTCAACCCGTGCCTTTGCCCACGATTTCGGCGTCTGTGGTCCGTTGTCGGGCCCCAGGACCACCAAAAATGAATCGGGGACGAAAAACTACTGGGAGTTCTGGGGCCGCGGATTGGAAAGATCAGATCGGCGGATGTCAGGCTATCTACCACCTGGGGAGCCGGTCTTCCTTGACTTCAGCAGTCAGTCGCACTCTCGGTGTATGCGCACACATGCATATCCCTTCATCACAGAGAAATCCCACCCGGACCCCACCCCACAAATTCATCCGGCGTTCCGCCTGACACACCTTTGTAAAATCGCCCACGGGTCCCTGCCACGCCCCCAGGAAAAAGGAGGGGAAGGAGGAGGAGCAGGACGAGGAGGAGGAGGGGGGAGGAAAAGGAAGAGGAGGAGGACGAGGACGAAGACGAGCACTAGGACGAGATCGAGCACGAGGAAGAGAAGGATGAACCGTGAGGAAGACGAAGGAGGAGGGAGGAGGGAGGAGGGAGGAGAGAGGACGAGGAGTGAGTGAACGTTCAGGGTCATGGACACAGGTTGCACAAGCAGGACGGCGGCGTTACAGCCGATCGCAAAATGGAACTGAGATTCCGCAGCGGCTTGCGTTTCACACGGCATTGAGGACGCACCACCGCTCCTCGCTCATTTACCACTCGCCCACGAGAGCACGCTCCTTCTTCTATATACAGAAACTCCCGATGAACCACAGAGCGATCGGCTAGTAATGCTATTCATTATCATACCCTCATGTTTCCTCTTCCTTTTTCCCATTCTCACCCTACCCTGCGATATATTCCTCATCCTTTTCAGCTCGTTTTGCGGAGGTTCCTCCTTGGAGGGCCTTGTAGGGGCCTCATAAAAGTGTTTACAAATTTCCTGGGTCTTCTGGAAGTCTCCTAAGCGTTTTCTGGGGGCCTCTGGGGGGGTTCTTCGGGCCACCCTGCTTCCAACCGCGGTCTGAACGACCGAATCACGAGTTGGAAGGCTTCGGGGACCATCTTGGGCCGTCATGGGGCCCTCGCCATCTTGGAACCCTGTTGCGCCGTCTTGGGGCTCTCTCTTGGACTGCCTGGAAGCCCTTGCGAATAGTTCTGGCGCGATCTTCGAGCCTCCTAAACGGTTCCGGACGCCCGAAGACCGAAGAACAGAGCATTCCCAAAATCACACAAGAACTATTAGCCATCAGTGCGCTTTGAGTTCCGAATGTCTCTTGGGGGTCTTCTTTGTGTCGTCTTCAGGCATTTGGTGGGTGTTTTGAACCTCTTGGTTCTTGGGGCCCTTGGGGCGCCGTTTCGACGCCCTCGTGACCGATTTGGGCCCGATGCCCAAGCCCGGCAGGGACTTCCAGGAGCTCGGGAAAGCCTGGGTTGGCCCTCTGCAGATGTGTCCAGGAGGCTCCTGTGGCCAGGGACCGGGGGGTCCTCTTCAGGGGGGGTCGCAGGGTCCCTGATTGCATATACATGTTTGTATATATATATATACACATATATATATATATCGATCTATATATATATATATATATATATATCGATCCACCTATCTATCTATCTATATATATATGTCTATCGATATATGTATATGTATACATACAAGACTGCATTGGCGCTGCGAACCATGCACGTTGGTCCTTTGAGTTCTGCACGCAAGCGGAATGCGTGCGTGCGTACGTGCGCGCGTGCATGTATACACGCGCGCGCATGCACGTTCCGTAGATTATATCTATATATATATATATATATATATATACATATATATATATATACAAATATATATATATATATATATATATACATATATGTATGAATGTATATGCCGAGGTGTATGCACTATACTTACATTGATGTATGTGTGTATACCGCGTACATATGTGCAGATACAGTTATGTGTGTAAGGGTATGAACATGCATATGCAATTCGTACGTACTTTGTCGGTGTACGCCCATATGTGTACATATATATATAGAGATATATATATGTATGTCTATGTATAGAACTATGGGTTCGCATAAACATGCGTATCTCAGGCGGTAGTGGCCTGACCAGTTGCTCTGGGCATCTCGCAACAGGTGCGAGGGTCTCAGGCGAAAAAGGCCAGATTACCATGGGACAATGCATCGCCGAAGTCAGTGCGCGAAGATGTCTCAAGCGAAAATGGCCTCAACACTTCCGCTCAGGACATACCGGAACTCAGAGTTGTGAGGATGTCTCAAGCGAAAACGGCCTGAACACCTCAGCTCAGGACAGACCAGAGGATGTCTCAAGCGAAAGTGGCGGAATACCATGGGGCAGGGCATCTCGGAACCCAGAGTTGCGAGAACGCTTCTAGCTTCTAGCGAAAGTGGCCCGAACACCTCAGCTCAAGGAGCCCTGGAACGTAGAGTTGCAAGAAAGTCTCAAAGCGGAAGTGGCTGGACCACCTTGGGGCAGGGCTTCTCCGAGGTCAGAGTTCGGAGGAGGTCTCAGGCCTCAGTGGTCTGATTTCCTCAGCTCAGGGCACCTCGGAACCGAGAGTTACGAGGATGGCTCTGGATAGAGTGACCGGAACACCGCAGCTTAGGACATCCCTGGACGCAGAGTTGCGAGGGTGTCGCATGCGGAAGTGGCCGGACCACCTTGGGGTAGAGCACCTCCGAGGTCAGAGTTGCGAGGATGTCTTAGGCGCAACTGGCCCGAGCACTATGGGGCGGGGCATCTCCGAAGTCAGCCTTGCGAGGAAGTCTCAAGCGAAGGTGGTCTGAACACCTCAGCTCAGGGCATCCCGAAATCCAGAGTTGCGATAAGTCGCAGGCGAAAGTAGGCTAACCAACATGGTGCAGGGCATCTCCGAAGTCAGACTTGCGAGACTGTCTCAGGCGAAATTGGCCTGAACACCTCAGGCCAGGGCGTCTCGGACTCCAGAGTTGCGAGGATGTCTCAGGCGAAAATGGCGGGACCACTGCGAGGCAAAGCGTTTCCGAGGTGGGAGGTGAGCATACCCGGGCGAAGCGGATCTCACGACTCCCTCTTCCTCCTCCCCCTCCTCCTTTTCTGTCTGGGTGATACTCGCCACTCATCCTCCGCTTTCCCCTTGCGTATAATTCCCTCTTCCTGTTTCTTCATTTTCTTATTCGTGTTCTCCTGGTCCATATCCTCTTCCTCCTCCTCTCCCCCTCATCCTCCTCCTGAGTTGCTGGCCGGGCCGGGCCGAGCAAAGCCGGCGGGCTGGCCGAAACGGGGACGACGACGATAACGACGACGATTACGATAACGAACGACGACGACGACGACGAAAAGGACGACGACGACGACGACGACGACGACGACGACGTGTGGACGGCTGGCACCCTCCCAGTGCGCCCCTCCCGGCCACGAGGACGACGACGACGACGACGACAACGACGACGACGACGACGACAACGACGACGACGACGACGACGACGACGACGACGACGACGACGACGGCAGCGACAGCGACGACGACGACGAATTGGTGTTTTCGGGGCCCTCGTAAGCCGTTTTGGCGCCTTCATGGGCCGTCCTGGGGCCTTCTTGGGCCGTCTTGGGGAGCTTGGGCCCGCTGGAGCTCCCTTTGGACCCATCTTGGGCACTTCTGGGGACCTCCCATGGCGCTTGTGGGTCTGTGCTGGGAGACCTTGGGGGGCCTCTTGGGTCCATTATGGGCTGTCTTGGGGCTCTCTTGGGCGATCGTGGGGCCCGGCTCGGCCGTCTTGAAGCTTTCTTGGGGGCCTTTTGGGGCGTCTTGAGGCGATCTCGGGGGCTTTGAAGCCGTCTTGAAAGCTGATGAAATCCGAACGGCGAATAAGCTAAAATTGTAAGTTTCACGAAGGGAATGGGACGATGTTTTGTGTTTTGAAGGCCACTTGGGAAGCTTTTTGGGGTGCCTTGGGGGTCTTTTGGGCCGTCTGGAAGCAATTGGAGTCCCTCTTGGAGCGCTCTTGTGCTGTCTGGGGCCTCCCTTGAGCCTTTCTGATGACCCCTCTGATCGCTCTGGGTCTGCTGACAAGGCGTTTGTGGAGACCCAGAAAGCCGGGTGACCTTTTCCAAAGACGTCCAAGGGAGCCCGAGAACCCCAGATCCCGGGGATCCAGTTTTTTGGGGGGGAGGTGACGGTTTCCCCCCCCCCCGGGCTTGCAAAAATAGAGGAAGAGGAATATTTATATATAGGGAGAGAGATCCCTATACAATATGATACCGTACGCGATGATAGAATATGAATTATTACAATGAGATGTACGATCGTAGACTTCAATATAACATGATACTAAAGAATATGAAACAACATGAAATGGTTTAATATCACATGAGGTAACGCAATAAAAAAATCGAATGATACATAGAATGTGATACAATATATAGTGGTGTGCCATACGATGCGCTACAATAAGACGTACTCTGATATAATATGTTATGGCACAGCGAATCCTTACACGATCCTTACTGCAACGTAGCATAATGCAATACAATATTACATCACATATTTAAACATGGTACAGCATTATATGATGTACTGTCTAATGTATCCGAGTATGGTACAACCTAATGCAATACAACATATCATATCATGGTATAGCGTTATAGTCTAAACCATTCTAAAATTACTACATTATAGTATAACAGAAAACATTTTAAAAAATGGATACGGTATGTTACGAAATGAAAAAACTGACATGCGATAGCATAACACCAGACGGTATATTGTAATACGATAGGGTGTACCATCCAATACAATAGAGAACATAACACATAATAATTCAAATGAACAGATGTTATAGCATAATATGGTATGATATAGTGTGGGATAGAATGCTATGTTGTAGTACCGTGGAACACAGCATACTAGAATACAATCGACCATATAAAAGCAGATAGATAATGTAAGGTGTGAAAGTGTATTCTGATATGGTACGCCATGCTAAACAATGCTATAATATTACATATGCATCACAATACGGTGACACAAGATGCAAAACAACGTAATCGAATATTGCACCACATGATTCGAAATATTATGTTATAGATTAAGAGCACGAAAATTCACAGCGAACGTACAAAATGACATATCCGCCGACCCCTTGTGGGTCTCTAGGCGTGTGAGATAGTTCCCCCCCCATAATCCCCCCCCCAAGGACCCCAAACCGGAGATTTGACCCCCCCCCCCCGGGCCCAGCACGAGCGCGCCACGGGGCTCTTTTGGGCCCAAAAGGGGATCAAGACGGGCCCAGAAGGCTCCAAGATGCCTCCAAGACGGCCCACGAGGGCCCCGAGACGCCAAACGAGCGCTCCCACACGCCCAAGATGGCCCCAAGACGAGCCTAGAGGCCTCCAAGACGGCCCGAGAGGTCCCCACGAGGCCCCAAGAGGCCTCCAAGATGCGTCCCAAGAGGGTCCCTAGACGCAAAAATTGGCCCATTCCCATCGTAAAACGTATAATTTTCACAAATTCGCTTTCTGGGCTTTCCGACGCTCCAAGACGGCCCAAGAGGCCCCGAAGACCGCCCCAAGACGGCCCAAGAAACCCCCAAGAGGGCCCCAAGATAGCCCAAGAGGGCCCCAAGACGGCCCAACAAGCGTCCAAGACGGCCCAACAGGGCCCCGAAAAGGGCCCCAAGAGCGCTCCAGGAGCGCCCCAAGTGGCCTCCAAGAGAGCTCAATATGGTCCCAGACAGCCCAAGAGCGATCAAAGACACCGAAGATGGCCTCCTGACGGCCCAAGATGCCCCCAAGAGGCCCCAAGAGGCATCCAAGATGCGTCCCAAGAGGGCCTCTAGACGCAAAATTAGCCCGTTCCCTTCGTAAAGCGTGCGTTTTTTTCACAAATTCGCCTTTCGGGCTTTCCGACGCTCCCAGACGGCCCAAGAGGCCCCCAAGACCGCCCCAAGACGGCCCAAGAAGCCTCCAAGAGGGCCCCAAGACAGCCCAACAAGGCGCTGAGACGGCTCAAGCGGCGCCGAAGACGGCCCAAGAGAGCCCCAAGAGGCCCCAAGAGCGCTCCAAGTGGCTTCCAAGAGAGCTCAACATGGTCCCGCACGGTCCAAGAGCGATCGAAGACACCCGAAATGGCCTCCAGATGGCCCAACACGCCCCTGAGAGGCCCCCAAGATGCGTCCCAAGACGGTCCCTGGACGCAGACATGTGCGTATTCCCGTCGTGAAACGTACAATGTTCACACATCCGCCTTCTGGGCTTTCCGACGCTCCTAGACGGCCCAAGAAGCCCCGAAAACCGCCCCAAGACGGCCCTAGAGGCCCCCAAGACGGCCCCGCGACGGTCCAAAATGGCCCCAAGACGGCCCAAGAGGTCCCCAAAACGGCCCACGAAGGCTCCAAGACGGCACCAAGAGGGGCCCAAGAGGGCAACCAACAATTCAAAAATCTAGCTTTCCGCCCCCACGAGCCCCAGGGGGCCCCAAGAGCGCCCCAACAGGCCGCCAACGGCCCTCAAGAAACCGCCAAGACGCCCCAAGGAGCCCACAAGAGGCCCCCAGGAGGCCCCCAAAAGACCCCCAGACGCTTCCGTATTGCGAGCCGTCACGCCAACTGCAATGCACTCCGCGCATACAACCTTACTCTTCCTCGCGACGTGCTCACTATCTTGCTCGGCGCTAATGTGCTGCTGCCGCGCGAACTGTTTCGTGCGCGCTGCGAACGTCAACAGCCTCTTCACCCGTTTCGATTCATCTGCCACATCTTTCGCTGTGATGCTTCGCTGATCACAGCTTCCACACACTACTCTTGCTCCTTTCGTCTTCCAGTGCTCCTCCACTTGGTTGCGGGTCGAAAGGCCGACCTCCCAGAAGGACACCCCGCACCCGGGTGCACAGCACGCAAAGCGCTCGCAAAACACGCCCCAGACCACCGGCATCACGCAAACATTTGGACCCCCTACGTATCTGCCACCACCCGCGCGCGACACCGTACCCTCACACAAGACGCCGCTGGCCAGAAACTCCTGGCCTCGCAACACTCACAGAAGGGGTCGGCGGATGTGGCGTAAGCCTGTAGAGTCGTAATGTCATATAATATCATGCATTATAATACCATAGAAATCTTAAACACAAACAAAAAGCATACACTAGAATGCTTTATACTGTAAGGTGTATACAATATACAGGTATACATACCTATACACACCTATATAGTTACTCTATGGAAAAATGAATGGGTGTACGTATGTGGGTGTGTGCGCGCGCGGGAGTGAACCCTCGACGTCGACACTGCTCGCAGGGCCGAGAGTGGCAGGGAGCGCGAGGGCTCGGAGCCCCTGCCGGGCACCAGATCTGGACACAACGTCGGCCGACGTGTCACGGGAGAGTCCGCGGGCCGGCCGTGGCCCAGGACGCGGGCCATGGCATCCCCGCCTTGGACGCCCGAAATGGGTATTGAAAAAATGGGTACAATGCCCAACAGCAAATGTTGTCCCAAACCAACAGCGGCCGCTGTTGGGCGGGCGGCCTCCTGTCCCGAATGGACACAGGCCGCGGCGGCGCGGACAGCGAATCCTGTTCAGAATGAACAGGAACTGCTGTTGGGCATTGTACACATTCTTTCCGTACCCATTTCGGGCGTCCAGACCCGCAGTGCTTCCCATCGACCGCAATGTCACTGGCGGCAAGCGAAGGGGGAAAACGAGAAGGAGAAGGCCTTCTCAGAAAGCGGCGGGACTTCTCAGAAGCCCTCGCGCCTTCGGAAAAGTGGCTGTTCTCTGTCCTCGGGGAAGGCTTCGAGAACTCCTCAGAAGGCAGGGGGACTTCCGAACCTTCGGAGAAGGCCTTCTCCTTTTCCCTTCCCCCCCTCGCTCGCCGCCGATGTCAGCCAGCGTCTGTACATACAACACCGCCTCACGAGGTCGAGCAAGATCGGCTATCCCGGCGGTGGATATAAACTTAGGCCAGGCATGTCCCTCTACAGGCCAATGTTTGAAGGCAAATGAACATTGGTCAAAAAATGTTCCAGAACTAACCCACCACGGCAGAGACATCGTCCCCGGACTACTTTGTTACTAGTTTCGAGCATGCCTCCTCTAGGGGGACGTGCCCGACTTTCAAGGCAGTTTTTAATACAGAGGATCTAAAAAAATGATGTTTCATACGTGATTCATGTAAGAACACATGTATGCATGAACTCATCGTTGTTTTTAATACCACATCCCTGCATTTGAAATACATGATCCGCACGCGGAGCATGTATTAAAAACGGCACTGCAAATAGAAGCACGTGCGAATCCCCGCCTCGGACCTCTGCGTCCTCCAGCCGGTGCAGCAGGGTGACCTCGGCCGCACGCGAGGGGCCAGGTGCGCAGACCTCCTCGAGCGGACCCCCCCCCCCCGGAGGCACGGCGAGAGGCCCTCGGGGCCGCTGCCGGCCGCCAGGGGCCCTCCATCCCTCCCTCCCTCCCTCCCTCCCTCCCTCCTCCCTCCCTCACTCCCTCCTCCCTCCTCCTCCCTCCCTCCCGCCCTCCCTCCTCCCTCCTCCCTCCTCCCTCTCCGCCTCGGGACCGCCCAAAATCGGCGACTACAATGGGTGAGGTTTGCGAAGGGTGCGGTTTGCCTCCCGTCATATCTGCCCCTCCCGCCACCGGGAAACGCATGACACTGTCACTCAATGCGACCAAATCACATGACACTGTCGCTCCTTCTAATACAGTGGAGCACACATCGAGGACGACAGTGTCGCTCGAAACGACGACAGTTTTGACATTGTCTCTCACAAAGGCCCCGGAAAGGCCGCCACGAAGCAACTCGCAAACCGCACCCGGGCGTAACCGCACCGATTGTAGTCGCCGACAAAAGCTGGCTCGGGACGACCAGCCGGTGCCGGGGAACGGGCGCAGACCTCTGGGGGTCCACGCTGCGAAGAGAGCGCGCGACGTCGGAGTTCTGGGGGGGGGGGCACCAGCACGAGCGGCCTCCGGTGCGCGCGGCTTTCGAGGGGGCCGCGGGGGAGGGCCAAAATCCAAGCGCGCGAGCGAGTGTTGAGGGCGCCCCTGTGGGCCCGCACCCGGGGGATCTGCGTCACTGGTGGTTTTCGGGCCATGGCTCGGGCCGCCACAACGGCCGTTCGCGACGAGTCGACCACCCCCAGAACGCTCTCGGCGAGGCGCAGCTGCTGAAATGCATCCCGGAGCTGGCCGACCTCCGTGCACCGAAGACAACGCCCAGCAAGCGCGTACCAAGGTTCCCCCCCCTCGCACCGCCCTCTCGTCCCAGACCCCCGACGTCATGGTTTGTTCACGACGACGTGGACCCCCAGAGGTCTGGACCCATTCGTGGAGACCGGTTTTCCATCTCGAATGATTGGGGCCCAGTGAGGGCCGGAAGCCCTGAACCAAAAAACCTTGTCATCTCTTGAGCCCGCTTCCGCTGGCCTTCTGGAGGCGGAGGCGGCCTCGTTTACGTACTTCTGCTGTTTTCCGACGGCCTTCCGTCGCCGTCCGCCGCCTTCCGCCGAGGAAGAGATGACAACTCCTCCGATCCTCGAAGGCGAGGCCCTTTCTGGAACTCCTCATTTAGGAGGCTCTTTTTCGAGTCATAACTCGAGCCTCTGGCGGCCGATCGGGTTGATCCAGGCACCCCTGGAACGCTCCCAACGACGCGCAGCTGCTGGAAGGCATCCCAAAGCGAGAAAACCTCCAAGAGTCGGCGAGGACCTACGAAAAGCATCGGAGAACATCCCCTCGCGTTGACTGCACTCTGGCACCATTCGCGCGAGGCCCTTTCTGGAACGCCTTAGCTGGCGACCGTCCACGGCGGCCCGCCAGCCTCGGTGAGCGCCCTGCCAGCCCGCGAGGCGGAGGCGGCCTCGCAGCAGGCCCAGACGGCGGCGCGCGCCTCGGCGGCGGCGGCGCTCCGCGCGGGAGCGTCCACGTACCTGCCCGGGCCTGATGCACTGTTTGTCATCTCCTCTCTCTCGGCGCCCCCCCCCCT